ATATGAGTTTTATTCCTGCTGGGCTTCAATCAGGCAGGGCAGATGTAAACAGGTTTGTAATAAGCTGCGGAAATGGCAATAGGGCTGCGGGACACACGGCTTTGCATTTGATTCAGGTAGTTACCGTCATCATATCCATTAATTTTTGTAGTGCTCCTGGGAGCAAAATCCCTCCTTTTCATTAGAGAGACCCGGATTTCTAAAGATCCCGGTGTTCGCCACAGCCTGCTTGGCACTCACGCTGTGAAAAAAAATCCCTTTGTTTACAGAGCTGATGGCCTGGGTGGGGACGGTCCTGGCAGCGGGGCCGCCTCCCCTGAGTTTTATTTACGGTTCTGCGATGCTCCCGCTCCGAGCTCCGCTGAGAGGAGAAGGTGGGCGGCATGGCTTAAAAAAACAAAAAACAAAAAACAAAAAACAAGCAAGAAAGTAAAAAAAAAAAAATTATATATATATATATATAAATTTATATAATATATTATAATAGATATAATATATTATATATTAATATATAAAAATTTATATAATGTATTATAATATATAATATATGATATATTAATATATATAAGATTTATATGATATATTATAATAGATATAATATATTATATATTAATATATAAATAAAATATATATTATATATTATAATATATATAATATATTATATATTATAATATATATTATATACCTAACGTATAATACATATTATGTATATATTATATATATTATATATATGTGTGTATATATATATTATATATATTATATATACATATATTATATATATATAATATTTATATATATATATATATATATATATATATATATATATATATATATATATATATATCTTGTGCTGTGCAGAGCTCGAGGGTTATTCGAGCCCCTTATTCCCCCCAGGAAATCAGGGTCTAAACACAGCTCTGGATCTGGCCCCCATCCTCACCTCCCCTTAACTCCCAGCTGCTGTTTTGCCTCCTAATACCTTAAGGCATCTTTAAAATTCCCATTCTTTCTGTTCTCCTAGGGGCATTCCCACAGCCTCCCATCTTTTGACATGTGAGTGATGTGAAAATCAACAGCTTTCTGTAATGCTGCAAAGTCTTTCAAGTCTCTCCTGACACGGGTTGCCTCTGTGTGCAAAGTCACGCCAGCACAAAGGAAGTGTAGCAACATCCCACCGGAATAACTTAAAAAGAAAAATCTCCTTTGGGAAAAGAATTATTTTGAGGATCACATATGGGAGGCCCAGATTACGGCACCACGGGCTCTGCTGTCTGGGCTGTCTCCTCACAAACCTTTGGATGCTCTCGCAGCAGAAGAAGACAGGCAGTGACAAGCCATGCTGTAAGGCAGCTAAGGAGCTTGGAAACGGCTCAGCACTGATCTGGAAACCAAAATCCCCCAAGAACTGTGCAAATTCACTCAAGGAGCACTCATGGTCCTGTTGCTCCCGTGAGGAAGCTGTGCTCCAGCATCTCTCTGTGATTTTGGTGATTTAGCTGCAGTTCCTCCTCACGCTTTTTCTATCTCCCAATAATCCCCTTCTGCTTTTCCAGGCCTCCTCTTTTAGCCTCAGTGAGGCAAATCAATGCTGGGTGCCCCTGTAGCTGTGATCAGCAGGGTCTCCAAGGGGTTTGCCCCCCCTGCACCCCAAAACACCTCACACCCCCAATAGCCCCTGTCATGGGAGAGCTGCTGTGCCACGGGCTCACCCCACAAGGTGCTTTCTGACCTGGAAAATCCCCAATTCTGATGCATTTTTCCTGTGAGGTCTTCCCTTTTACCAGTTAATTTGTACACAGCCCCTCGTGTTCAGCCCAAAGCTCTCAAAAGGAGTTTATTGCTGTTTGTATTTGGTTTTGTTTTGGTTTGTTTCTTGCAACACAAACGAGGAAAGCTGTGGGAAGGAGAGAGGGCACTGCCAAGCAGCCTTCCTACAGTCTGCAGCCACCACTTAATTCATGTTTCCACTTCATTCTTACCAGAATATCGCCTTCATTAAAAGGCAGTAAAAGCATTAAAGCATTTTGTAGTGGACAGAGAAGATCTTACAGCTTTATTGGGCTGAGAGGCACATAATGGACCACTACAGCTTTACTAACATCTCAAGCACCAGTTTGGGAAGTAAATTTTGGAAGAGCCAGACTGGTCCTGCATGGAACAAACGGGATGGGGGATGAGAACCTCTCAGCCAGTGCACCTGGATCTCTGCAAGCGGGGTCACTTCCCTGTCAGCACTTTGCCAGCCTGCAAAATTTCTCACTTTGGATTTTCTCTCCCATGTTGGATACAAAATGCCACTTTAAAAGGTGCAGCAGTGATGGAGTAAAGTCTAAATGCTTCCCAGGGGGGCAGTCCCTGTACCTCCAGCTGGAAAACCCAAGACCCCCCCACACTCCCAGGAAAGAAATGGGGTGTCATACCAGCTGATCTCCTTATTTTGGATCACCAGATTTCCACAAGCAGCTGAACATCCCAGTTGTATTTTATTAGATCAGGTACTGACAGCAGACAGCAAGATGCTCTTCATTACTGCCTTTTACTCATTTTATATACTTATTTATTAGTTTTATGTTCTTCGAGGAACCCAAATCTTTGGGTTCCTCGAAGGTTTTGTTTTCTCCCCACCTCTGTGGGTCCGGTTCCTCCAGCCTGAAGTTGATTCCCAGGTGCTCTCATGCAGCTGTACCTGGGAGATAAGCATTTATTCACGCTCATGTTTGTGTGGAGTGGTAAAATATTAGAGCTAAATTTTTTATGACATTCCTAGGAGTGGTTATGGAGCAAACAAGATTACAGCAAGTACTACAGAAAAGCTTGTTTATGCAGGGAGGGAGAAAAATCAGACTTGGAGACGTGTTTGCAAAACCCTTGGAGAGCCCAGGGGAGGGGTTTGGAGTTCCCTCTCCTCTTCCTCCCCTGTCTCGCTGCTTTCGCTGCGGGCACAGCAACAACTCCCGGCAGTTCAGGCTGGGTGGCTTTGGAGGGGCGGAATTCCAGCTCCAGAGCACACAGGCAGTGCTGGCTCCGCTGGCAGAGTGGCACCAGGGCGATCCCCTGGGGATGGGGGCCTGGGGGTGCCCTGGGCACGCTGCCCACCCCGCTGCACGGCCCTTGGCATGCCCTGGGCACATCCTTTAGAACGCTCTGACACTGTTCAGGATGCTCTGACATTGTTCAGGATACTCCCATATCCCAATAAATGCCCTTTGCACACTCTTTAGAATGCTCTGGTACTGTTTGGGATGCTCTGACACTGTTTGGGATGCTCTGACACTGTTTGGGATGCTCTGACACTGTTTGGGATGTTCTCACCCTGTTCAGGATGCTCTCACACCACTAGGGATGCTCTGACATTGTTCAAGATGCTCCCATAGCCTGAGGGATACCCTTTGCACACTGTTCAGGATGCTCTGACACTGTTTGGGATGCTCTCACACTGTTTGGGATGCTCTCACACCATTCAGGATGCTCTCACACCATTTGGGATGCTCTGACACCGTTTGGGATGCTCTGACACTGTTTGGGATGCTCTGACCCTGTTTGGGATGCTCTGATATTTTTTGGGATGCTAGGACATTGTTTGGGGTTCTCTCACACCATTCAGGATGCCCCCACATCCCTTTGCCCACCCCCGGGATGCTCTTGCAGTTTTTGGGATGCTTTCACACCTTTTTGGGGTGCCCTCACTGTTTTTGGGATGCCCTCGCAGATTTTGGGGTGGCCACACACATTTTGTGATACTGTCACATATTCTGGGGTGCTCTGACACATTTTGGGGCGTTCTCACCCATCCCGGGGTGCCCTCGCTGTTTTTGGGGTTCCCTCAGATATTCCGGGCCTCCCTCACACATTTTAGCATGCCCTCACACATTTTGTGGTGCCCTCACACATTTTGGGGTTCTCCCACTCATCCTGGGGTGCCCTGGCTGTTTTTGGGGTTCTCTCATCCATCCAGGGGTGCCCTGGCTGTTTTTGGGGCTCCCTTTTCCCAGTTTTTCCCCGTTTCCCCCCGTTTTGCCCCATTTTTCCCGTTTTTCCCCGTTTTCCCAGTTTTTCCCCATTTTTCCCCGTTTTTCCCAGTTTTCCCTGTTTTTCCAGTTTTTCCCCATTTTTCCCATTTTTCCCCGTTTTTCCCCGTTTTTCCCAGTTTTCCGTCGTTTTTCCCAGGTTTTCCCCGCTTTTCCCCATTTTTTCCCATTTTTCCCCGTTTTTCCCAGTTTTTCCCCATTTTTCCCCATTTTCCCCCGTTTTATCCCGTTTTTCCCCGTTTTCCCCCGTTTTTCCCAGGTTTTCCCCGCTTTTCCCCATTTTTTCCCCATTTTTCCCCGTTTTTCCCCCTTTTCCCCAATTTTTTCCCAGTTTTTCCCCGTTTTTCCCCGTTTTTCCCCATTTTTCCCCATTTTTTCCCGTTTTTGCCCGTTTTTCCCAGTTTTCCCCGCGCAGTTCCGCCGGTGGCCGCCAGGGCGCGCGCTCGCTCTGTGCGCCGCTCGCGGCCGGCGCGCGCCCCCCCTCAGAGCTGTCCCCGCGCCGGGGGAGCGGAACCGGCACCGAGACCGGGACCGGCACCGAGACCGGGACCCAGACCGGGACCGGCTCTAGAACCGGGACCGAGACCGACCCAACCGGCCACCGGGCCGAGCCGAGCCCACCCGGGGCTGCCCCGCTCGCCGGCCCCGTTCGCCGGCCGCGGGCATCGCGCATCCCCCCGGGGAGCCGAGAGGCGCCTGCGGGCCGGGCCCCGCTCAGGTGAGCCCCGGCACAGCCCCGGTACAGCCCCGGCACAGCCCCGGTACAGCCCCGGTACAATGCCCGCTGCCCCGGGGGAGCCGCCGCTGCTGCCACGGGCGGCGATGCTGCGGGGGCGGCCGTGAGCGCGGGGCCGGCGGGGACCCCCCTTCCTTTTCCCCTTCCTTTTCCCCTTCCTTTTCCCCTTCCCCTTCCCATTCCCCTTCCCGTTCCCCTTCCCGTTCCCGTTCCCGTTCCCCTTCCCCTGCCCTGCCCTCCTCCGCCGGACGGAGCGGAGCGGAGCGGAGCGGGCGGGGAGCGGGGGGAGTGGTTACGGGCTCCGGCGCGACACCCCCGGCCCCCCCCGCCCCGCTCAGCCGCCCCTCTCCAAATAAATCAGCACCATGACTACTTCTGGGCATGGAACAAAGAGGATGCTCTCCCGGGGCCCCGCGCTGCTCCTGGCGCCGCTGCTGCTCCTGTGCCGAGGTAACCCCGGTCCCGCCGCCGCGACCCCGCCACTGCGCTCCTGTTTGTTTCGTTTGCTTTTTGTCTTCATTTCTGTGTTTGTTTTCGGCTGTTTGTGTTTATTCCATGTCTGCTCCCTCTGCCGCTGTTATTTAAGGCCGTTTCCCCCATCCCAGCCCTCCCTCCCCGGCGCTCCGCGCAGCGCTGCGGGAGGAACGCGCTCGCAGCTCCGTCTCTGGGGCGCACCAAGGAGTCCCCATCACGCTCCGCTGTCCCCACGCGTGTCCCCTGTCCCCTGTCTCCCGGCCCCCTGCGCGAAGCCTGCCCGCTGCTTCGGCCGCTGCCGATTTGGGGGGAAAAAAGGGAAAAGTTTGGGCATGCCGGAGCTCTGGGGGATGGAGACGGGTGGTGGGATTTGGGGTTTCTCACGAGGCAGTGACCCCCGTTCCTCCCTGATGCGCCTTGCTCTTTCTGACTACCTGTGGGTGGGGGGAAAGATGTGCAGGAGCTAAACCCCTTCGGTAACAAAATACTTGTGCGACCTTTTTGCGATTATTTCCGAGAAGAACGGGTTTCGGCGGGCTGGTGGAGAGCGGGGTCTGGCCCTTCACTGGGCTCTGGTGGGATTCCCTCACCACGGCCAGCTGCGAGGCGGGGAGTGAGGCTGGGAGATGCTCTTCCTCTGTTATTTTATTTTGATTTTTCTCATTTCCCCCCCAGCTGGAGTTGGGAGCAGCGTTTTGGGTCCAGGCGCGGGTGTTTTGTGGGGAAGGGCTCACCCCAGGCTGCCAGAGAAAGTCTTTAGCAGGACTTCACTCTGGGCACGTTCTCCTCTGCCTGCTCCCGTGAGCTCCCTCGCAGATGCTGTTTCTAATAAACAAGGGTTGTTAAAAGCAAATTAATTAAGGTGCATCGGTGCTGAAGTTGTTCGGGGATTCGTTTGCGCTTACTGCTTCTCGGGACGGTGCTCGCGTTTGGCCGTAGCGTGGAGCTGGGGCTGCTGGGGAAACTTCACGCGGGGCTTAGGAACATGCCTAAATGCAAGGATTTTAGGTGAAAAAGGAGCGATCCATGGGAAGGGTAATAGCAGTAGCTCTTGGGGAAGGCACAGGGAAGGCTTTGTGCTGGAGAAGTGGTTTAGGAAAGGTTCCTACAGGAAGAGCAGGAACGATTTGCTAGGAAGGAGGCATCAACCTTCTTGTGGGGACACACAGAAGATGGACAGCAGGGGCTCCTTGCTCTGCTCACCCCAAAAAAGCACCGCTTGCCCCTGCTCTCCATCCTCCTCCTTGGCTGGGCCGTGTGCAGCCACGGCAGCACCTGGAAATGCTTCTGAGCAGGACACGGGCTGCAGAGTTTGGGGTGCAGGGCGTGGAAAATGGGGTGCAGCTTGTGGGGACTGGGGCACCGAGCACAGGACGGAGGGCATGGGCTTTCTGTGGGTCAGCCCTGCCCCACGGAATGGTGGTTTTCTGTGGGTCAGCCCTGCCCCACGGAATGGTGGCTTTCTGGGGATCAGCGCTGCCCCACGGAATGGTGATGGTGGCTTTCTGTGGTCAGCACTGCCCCACGGAACGGTGGCTTTCAGTGGTCACTGCGATGCCCTGTGCGCCGTGCAGCTCTTTTATTGAGGAGGGAGTTAGGCGCAGCAAAGGAGCAGGTTTTCGGTTTTTTTTGGTTTGTTTTAAAAAAAATATTTTTTATTTCTTGCTTTGACATATTAATGCTAATCTTTTCCCTGATATTCCCCCCTCCCTTCTCCTCCTGTGTGGGTAGCTACCATGGTGAGATTGGGCTGTGGGTGTAATTCTTCCAGCGCTCTGAATGCTTAAACATATGGAAACCCACTTTGAAACAGTTTGTGGCTGCAAACCTAGCGAGGAATGCATGCATCCATCCATCCCTCTCTGCTGCTGAGCCCTCCCTGCCCAGCGTGCGCCTCAGGAGCTCGCAGAGCGCTCCCAGCTCGGGCTGTGAATACCGAGCGCCTTCCCCGCCTGCGCCTCTCTCCTCTCCCGGCTCAGCATCCTCCTGCTGCCCCGCGGAGCGCTGTCCCTGCCCTGTCCCAGCGATGTCCCTGCCCTGTCCCGGCGATGTCCGTGCGTGCAGAGCGCCTTTGGGTCAGGGCAGAGCTCCTGGGAGAGCGGCAGAGCCGGGAACGCCTCCCCCGGGGCTGTGCCCATCTTCCCGCAGCTCCGGTCGCTTTTCTCCCCTGGACCGCAGGGGTTAAATAAGGAGCCGCATGTCGCTTTGGGTTCTCGCAGCCGGGAGAGACACCTGCCCGAGTCCCGGCGCTCTGCCATCTCCGCAAAGCTCGAGAGACGCTCGCTTGGGCTCTTGCCATTTTTCTCCATTTCTTTCCCTTCCCTCCCTCCCTTCCCCCTTTGGGCAGGCTGCGATGCGGGGAGCCAGGCTGAGTTTCCGCAGCCTCCTCCAAGCGGGTGGCGTTCGTTCTCCCGGCAGGCAGGTTCCCTAAATAAATAGCTTTGGGAAGGTGCAATGAAGAGATCACTCGGCTGCCCCGGCCCTGCGGCTGCCGGCGGGCAGGGGCCGTGCGGCTGTGCTCGGCAGCCCGAGGATGTCTCCGCCTGGCAGCAGCCCCCGCTTGTTGCTGCCATCTCGGCAGGCTTTTGGCCGCCTTCCCCGCTGGCGGCGGAGCTGTCTCCGTGGTTTTATACCAATAGGTATCCTGCGAGCGAGCTGGAGGAGTTACCCGAATATTTGGTTCTGCTGGCCCCGGGGCAGGAGCGCTCCCCCAGCCCCCGAGGGATGCTGCTGGCGCTGGGTGTCAGCAAGGACCCGCGATCGCTTTTACACTCCGGCTCCAGGGGGCCGTGGGTGGAGAGACATGATGCTTATTTTATTATGTGTCCCTGGATCACTCTGCCTAATATGGAGACGCTTTCTGTGCAGAGGCTCTTTAGGAACAGAAATGAAAGACCTGGATTGTCTACTGTACAATAGATTTGCAGATCACGATCGTGCAAACTGTTGAAATGTAGGTTATTTTCCCCAGATTAGTGCAGATCTCAACGTTTTATGCAATGACTGTTCAAACTGATGTGAAGTGGGGGATAGTGGGCTGGGGGGAGAAGTCTGAAATTATTACAGTGCCTTTTGCTCCAGCATCCATTAGAGCAGAATATTTTAGATACCCTGATTTTACTTCCCATCAGCATAAATCTAGACCAGCTGCTCTGAAGTCAGTGAAGCTACTCTGGATTTATGCATTGCTTCTGCGATTGGTATTGGGCTCTCTGGGAATGCAGGAGGCAACTCTGTGACTTACCCTGCACAGCATTTTTCAATTCAAAATCTCCTGTCACTGCTGCTGCAGCCTCCTTTGTGTATTTGAAATGGGGAAGTCTCACTGGTTTTGGGTTTTGATTATTTTCTTCAATATGTGTGGCTTGGTCATAGAACTCTGTTCACTGACTCTGGCTGATCAATAGAGTCTTTTGTGGTTTGAATACCAAAATAGCTACATGAAAATATAAAAATCAATTAAATGCAATTAATTTGCTGTATTTTATTGCTGGGAATGATAGTCAGTCCCAGCCCTATTATCTGTGGCGAGGAAGGTATGAGCGAGCCCAGGAGCAGCTGCAGGAGGTCAGAGCAGAGGGTTGCCAAGACTGGGACAGGGTTTGTGTCTCGGGAAGGATTTTTTGGATGGAGGATGCGCTCCTGAGCCAGAGATGGCTCCATTTATTTAATTGCTGTGCTGGGTTTGCCATCATGGATTTGGTCGCTCTTTGAGCCCAGGCAGCAGTTTGGAAGGCACAGTCCCTGGGCAAGGACTGCCTTGTTTCCAAGTGCTGGAGAGAAGAGTCTGTGCTCCATGGAGGTGCACAGGGATTTGGGTTATGCAGGGCTTTAGGCTCTGCAGGGCTTTCCCATTGGTGCCAGAGGGATGGAAATTCCACCCTGCTGACCCCACGCTGCATCGGGCTCATCCTGCCCTTCTCCATGGCTCCTCCATCCCCATGGCTCTCAGAAATGTGTTTTGCAGCTCAGGGGGCCTGTGCTGGCCGTGTCCCTGTGCTGAAAGGTGCAGGAAGGAGTGTCATTCCCCGTGATGTTGGGTTATGGCAACTGGTGCTGCTTGTCCTGACCTTGGTGGCTGATGCTGGCACAAAGCACAGGTTCTGCTGAGGTGGAAGGTGCTTCACAAAGCTCTGTGCTTCGTGGAGGTGGCTGCAGACCTGCCCTGCCTCAGAGGAGCAACGGGGAGCTCTGTCCTGCACAAAGCAAGCAAAACCGAGGTCTTCTGGCCTTATAAACCTCCCGGTGAAAGAGAAGCCACCCCACCAACACAAACACTGTCAGCTCAACAAATTTAATTCCCTGATCTTGATTCCCCGTTCCCTCCTTGCCTAAACATAACGACTGCTGGTTGATGACAAGCAGTGACTTGGATGGTTGGCAGAGCTGCAGCTCTCAGCCCTGTCAGTGGCTCAGGGATGTGCTGGCACGTGGCGCTTCCCCAGCTGTCACATCCTCTCCCATTAAGTGCCACCGAGGCTGTGGGCTGTGAGGTACCATGTGGTGCTCTAGATGTCGTGGAAGATGCTTTGCTTTCGTGCTGTGGGGAGTTCCCAGCTGGCATTTCAGAGGAAGCAGTGAGGATGGGCAGGCAGAAATTACAAGCAAAGAGGTCCCTGGAGACAGCTCAGGGGAGGGGATGGGGACTGCTCAGTGTCTGCCTTTCCCTGGGTATCCCCACTGCGCTCTGTGACGTGAGAGCTGCGGTGGGAAGGCAGCCAGGGCTGCTGGAGTGAGCTCCTCGTGCAAGGACTTTGCTCTTTGGGCAGTGCACAAATTCCCTTTAGTCTCAGGTGCAAGGTAAATATTAATGTTTTTTCCACGCTTCCCAAAAACTCTCTTGCAACATGCTTTGAGCTGTTCTTTGTTTACATAAATGTTTCTTTCTGACAGCATTCAGAAAGCTTCATGAATTTATGATGTGCTCCAGATTCAAGCACACTTTTTTCCTTTTCTCTTTTTTCCTTCTATTTTTT